AACCTTAAGAGATTCCTCATTTGATTTTCCATACTTTTGAGACATGAAAGGGTGAATGCAAAGGTAAACTTTCAGATGCTCCTTATATCCTAATCATATCACACGTGCCTCCTGGCAATCTGTTGCTTAAAACTCAAGGGACCTAATGCTTAATGAGAATGTTTTTCTGATTAGGAAACAAAAACATATAGTCTTTTGGAATAGATTCTAATAGTCTAGAGCGAAAGGGATACATTCACTAACATACTTAGAAGAACTAGCACCTAAAAATGATTTTTGTTGTTTTATTGTTTGCATTCTTAAGTAACTCATTTCAATATTTAATTATTATAAAAATATTAGTGAGACATTTTACTTTTTTTTATAAGTCATAGAAATTCTGAGTAGGTACATTTCTGTAACCACATGTGGCTAGTCAGTGCTATGCTGGACAGTGAACCTCTACGCTTTCAGTTCAAAACATTTAATGAGCACACTATGAGCCATAACTTTAACTCCTAATTAAATAAGAGTTCTGAATTTTAGAATTTGTTGATGAAGGAAGGTTTCCAAATGAAGAAAAACATTTTCATAGAGATTAAGTGTAATATGGAGATACAGAGCATAAAGAAGCTTTCTTTTGCAGTGGAAAGATATATGGGTCTAGTATTTGAAAGTGTTTCTCAAATTCAGAAAAGGTTAAAAAAAAGTTAAAAATGTCTGAAAAAGGGGGCGCCTGGGTGGCTCAGTTGGTTAAGCGTCCGACTTCAGCTGAGGTCATGATCTCCCAGTTCATGAGTTCAAGCTCCCCATCGGGCTCTGTGCTGACCACTCAGAGCCTGGAGCCTGCTTCGGATTCTGTGTCTCCTTCTCTCTCTGCTTCTCTCCCACTTTTGCTCTGTCTCTGTCTCTGAAAAATAAGTGCAAAAAAATTTTTTAATCTAAAAATTACTTTAAATGTTTGAGCCTTTTAAACAGTTTTAAATTGTACTCACTGTAGTAACCTTAAGGTTGCCTAGCAAGCCTTACTAAAATGCATCTGTCCCAGCTATACTTATAGAAATTCTTATTTAGTGGGTGTTTTCTGGGTCCAGGAAATTGTGCTCATTTATTAAACATCTCCATTGTTTCTAATATAAGTAGTCCACAAATTTTGAGAAACACTGTTTTCGTGTCTGGAGTGACTTAGTTTTTCCTTTAGTCAATAGTTTCTTAGGGCTTTTGATCTACATTAGTACTTTGAAGAAACAAAAATTAGGGGAAGTCATCTTGGTGGGTTATCTATCTTCTTATTTTTACATCTCACACATAAAGTAATTATTAACATTATCTTTATTTTCAACATTTTTCAATGGTTATTTTTTCTCCATGAATGTTTTTTATTTATATCATGCTGTTTATGTTTTATATGGGTAATATTACCTTGAATTTCTCTAAGTATATTCTTTAGAGATTTTTAAAAGCTATTTTGTTTCCAAAACACCTGGGTGGCTCAGTCAGTTAAGTGTCCAACTCTTGGTTTCGGCTCAGGTCATGATCTCACAGTTCTCGGGTTCAAGCCCTACATCGGGCTCCGTGCTGTCACTACGGAGCCTGCTTGGGATTCTCTCTCTCCTCTTTCTGCTCCTCCCCCATTCCCTGTCTCTCTCTCTGTCTCTCCGCCTCAAAATAAATAAATGAAAAAACTTAAAAAAAAAAAAAAAAAGGAACTATTTTGTTTCTTCCAAGTTCAATTTTTGGGATTATTGACTTTTCTTTTTCCCATCTGATGATTATTATGCGCATGTATGATGATCTTGGTGGTTAATATTATATCTACTCTCTACCGAAACTACCGCACATCAATCTTAAGCTTGTCTTCATTGACTAACAAGTCTTCTTTCAAGAACTACAAAATATTGCCTTTACTTTTTAGCATTTATCTGCCTGCTGACATTTTTGCAAATGTTTGAGAGTTTTTGAGCTGCTGATTCTGTAATAGCTAATCCTGTGCTTTCGATCTCTAAAATCATTTATACTCTTTTCAGTTTTCTAATTTTTGCTTAGCCAAAGGTAAATTTTTTCATGATCGATTTGTGATTACCCAAAATTTAAGTGGGAATGTGAAAGTGATTTTAAATGTAGCACAATCAGTGTTTAGTTCAATCGTGCCTTCACTAAACTTGGAGTACCCAACAGTTACATTGTTTTTCTTTGCCTTCAAGATATTTCAAAACCCTGGAAAGGTATCTGCATTCTAGTTGCTGTTAAGAAATCATGAAGTTATGTCCTTGGAAAGTACATTTCATCCATGTTTCCTTCCTCTATACCTATAAAGTGAAATTAATACACCCTAAAGATTTTGAAATGATATAACTGGTAAGTTTTAAAAATAGCTATTTCATATAGGATTTGTTTTTTCATTTTTGCCTCAGTTGCCAAATAGGCAAAATAGTATAGTCTTATTTTTCAACAATTACATTATTAGAAATGTGAAATAAATAAGTTATGGCCCTGAAAAATTATGTGAGTATATGCAAATAGTGCTAAAGTACTAGCTACTGAAGCATTAACCTTTTAGAGCAAGTATCTAAATATGACATGCCCGCACTGTTACCCCATACTGGACAACTGCAGAAAAAGTAAGCTGTTGCCTGAGGAAATACATCTGCTTTCTCTAAGTGAAGCAAAATCAACCAAAGAGCACATTAATGGTTAGAGAACAGACTATACTGTTTAGGAGTAAATACATGAATACATACATGCTCCTCTCACATTTTTGGCACATGACTGCTTCTAGGACATTTTTCACAATCCAAATATGCATCAAATTAGAAACAAAGCTTTAGAATTTGGGGCAAAATAGGTAAATGGACATTTCTGGGCTTTCATGCGAGAGGGTGATGAAGGCCATGATGAAAGAAATTTGTAGAGGTTTCACGTATATTTCAACACTCAGCAAAGATATGAGAAAATTACCACACAGTTTTATCACATAATATCACAGAATTTTTATTTTAGAGGGAAAACTGAATAATGTTTGACCTGTAAGCCGGGTCCATAAGTGAGAGGTTCTCAAAGAAAAAGAATGTTAATACTGAAATATACGATAATGCTTAATAGAGTGCCTGGCAGGAAAATTGAAGCAATCTTTAGATAATTCACATTATTAAGAGTTCTTTTTTCAAATATGTTTATGCATGGTCTTCAGAAAAGAAAATCTTTATCAAAATTCTTAGTTTTATAAAATATATGGGAAACCAATCACAAACTGAATAAGAAGATGATGTATTACATTTGAGTTTTGATTTAATATTCTCTTCACAACTCATAAAACATAGTCCTGACTTTCTAGTCACTGCAATGACACAAGTAAAAAAAGTAAAATATATGTATATTATAAAGGAAGAAATAAAACTGTCCCTATTTGTATATGACAAGGTTGCCTATATAAACATTCTGACAAATATACAAAAATAAAAATAAAAACTTATGGAATTAACAAATGAGTTCTCCAAGTTTATAAGATACAAGATGAACATACAAAAATAAATTGTATTTCTATGTACTAGCAATGAACACATGACCAAATTAAAAATAAAATACCATACATACTAGCTCAAAAATAATGGAATACATAGATATAAATTTAACAATACATGTGAAATATTTTCTTGCCAGAATCTACAAATTGATGATAAAGTGTTTAAGATCTAAGTAAATGAGAAAACATTTTGTGATTATGAATTTGAAGACTTCACAGAGTAAAGATGTCAAGTCTCAACAAACTGATATACAGACTTAATTCCTATCATACTCTCAGCAAAATTTTTTTGTAAATATAGACAAGATTATTCCAAAATTTATATGGAAATGTATAGATCTCAGAATGACTAAAATAATGTTGACAGAAAAAAGAATAAACTGGGAGGAAATCGGTCTATCTGATTTCCAGGTTTATTATACAGTTTCAGTATTCAGGCCATGCAAATTGTAGAGGTTTTGATACATAGATTACTGGAACAGAATAGAGTTTGGTAATGGATCTATACAAACCTGCTTGACTTTGACAAAAATGCAAAAAAACAATTCAATGTCACCTTTGCACAAAGGTTGATTGGATCTCCCACCTCATACAAAAAGTAACTCAATATAAAACTATAAATATTTTAGAAGAAAATTAAGAGAAAATATTCCGGCTTCCAGGCTAGGCCAAAAGTTCTTAGATTTGACACCAAAAAGCATAATCCATAAAAGGAAAATAAAACAAATCTTTTGCTCTATGATAGACCATTTTAAGAGCTTCAGAGACAAGACAGACTGAAGAAAACATTTGCAAATCACAAAGGATTAGTATCTAAAATGTACACAGAACTTTCAACACTCAATAGGAAGAAAAATAAGCAATTCAAAATGCAAAAAAGTCACAGATATTTCATTGAAAAAATACATAAAAATCAAACACGTGAAAAGATGTGTTCAATATTACAAGCTACTTGAGTTCCTTCACTTGACATCTGAAAATACTAAAAACTTAAGTTTAAGAATATGTTTTAGTGATCCACATGTAGCCTTTCCCACTTGAGCTAGAGCTTCTGTGGTATTATCTTGAGGAGATGAGCAACGCTTTTTTGCCTCCTACTTTCTTCTTTGGGTTTGAGATCTGGAGGAAGTTGAGAGAAATATCAAGCTCCAACATGCAGAATTTGGTCAATTGTTTCCTCTAAAATACTGTTTTGCATCAGAGCTAACTATATCTAATTCATTTTGCCTGTAACTCATTTTGCCTGAATCTAGGTTTCACTTGTCCAGGATTCTCTAAAGTATTTAGTCTAAACACTTATATGAATATGTGTCAATTTATGAGAAACCTGGAGCCATTTTGCCATGTAGATGTTTTCAGGAACCATGTGTGACAATCTTTCCACAACCCATAACCCACATGCAGAAAAATCATCTATCTAAGCAGAAGGATACCAGAATCCTAACTTGCCAAAAAAGCCTTTTGACTTGCTTCCATGTTTGTGTGTGTACAGGGGGAGAAGCCTGAGCGAAATGACAAGAAAGGTTATGTAAATGATTAAACAAACACAATACCTGTTTTTCCTTTTACCCAGATAACTGAAACACAGAAGAGATCAGATTAAAAGGAAAAGATGCCCACCCCATTATGGATATAAAGCAGGAAGAAGGCATAAACATGCCCCTGCCTTCCTCGTTCTCATACTGCCACCTAACACAGGGACACTTTGCCATGCTTTGGCTACTCTGAAGGGACAAAGGGAAGACAAGGAGAATATCTTGTAAACATAAACCAGAGAGGCAATAACTCTGAAAATAAAGTGAATGTGGCTGGAGATGAAGTATCAGTCTCTAATAGTGTCAATAAGGTTCATGAGACTTCCTTTATATTACAATTGCCATCCAAAGAAATAGTATCCCATGGACCAGATAAGACCAGCTCTAAATGGCTACTTTGTACAAGAGAAGGAATAATCATGACAAAGGTAATAAAGAGAAGATCCGGCCCCTTACTAGTTTTTCTGTTCAGCCAAGTAAGCTCTGAAGTGTCTGCTATAATTCAAAGAAAGGAGAGTCTTCCAAAGTTAATAACTATAAACTAATTAGCAGCACTGAATGGTGTCTGGGCATGTGTGTATGTGTTTGTGCAATCAAAACGTATAATGAGAGATTTCTTGTTTTCACAAATTGTGGAAAATTTTATACTTCTTATGAGTACTTATTTTCTTCTTTTCTTTCAATATTTAAAGTAGATGGATGTGGAAACCAACAGAGAATAAGAAGACCCTTTCGGAAATGAGTTAACATATCATTATCATCTCTGCCAATTAGCATTTATTGAGCAACTGGGCACTTGGAACTTCAAGAATCTCCACAGAGACTCCATAGTGAGACAGGTTTCTATGTTTTATAGTCATCTATTTGAGGACAAGATTAATCTGCAAATGCATTACATCATGTGGAATTATTCTTGGGTTTGTTTTTCTAAGGGAAATTATTTTTTAAGCAAGTTAATCTGTATTATCTCATTCAGATATTCATGATTGGAAATTTATTTGTTTCAATAAATATGATTTTACATATTGGAAGGAAGGAAGTTGGAAGGAGTTTACCTTGTAAATTGTTGCTATGAGCTTTGGGAGGGCTATAAACCAATTCTTACCCATGGTGACATATATCTACACATTGAATTATTCTTTTCAATCTGATATCATTGAAAGTAAACAGCTGGTCCACTCCAGGGGACAATTTTCCATGTTAAATGTCATTGAACATGAAATTCACTCTGATGCTATCAAAATCTTCTTTTTTGTAGCAGCTCTAATCTGGTATCACTTTTCTATAAGTTTTGTAATAGAATTAACCAAGAGCTAATAGTATTGTCTGTCCTTGTCTCCATTTTTAAAAACTAATGTTCGTAATTCCCCTTGGAGTCTGACACTTAGACCAAAAAAATAGCTCTCATATATGCATACACAAACAGGGCCATTTTGAAGTTTTAGAGAAGTAAATAACAATTTATAAATGTGTCGGGAGTCACAAATTTACTCTCTCGGCAAGTCAGATATGGAGAAGAAATTGATTTCTTCATATAATTTACTTACCTTCAAAAAGAGACCCTACCGGCTGCTGATGAGCTGCTTAGTCCCAGCTGCTGATTCTCACAGTCCCTTTACATAATGATTTTTCTTTGAGATAATTGTTCAGTGTTGCTGTTATTGTTGCCTCAACATTTGCTCCTTTCTGAGGTTGTGTTTGGTGGGACACATGATGCTTTGGTAGAACCGTTAAGAAGGCAGGGCTCCAGGGGTGCCTGGGTGGCTCAGTCAGTTAAGTGTCCGACTTCAGCTCAGGTCATGATCTCATAGTGTGTGAGTTCGAGCCCCCCACTGGGCTCTGTGCTGACAGCTCAGAACCTGGAGCCTGCTTCAGATTCTGTGTCTCCCTCTCTCTCTGCCCCTCCCCTGCTCATGCCCTTTCTCAGTCTCAAAAATAAATAAAAACTTTAAAAAAAAAAAAAAAAAAAAAAAAAAAAAAAAAGAAGGCAGAGCTCCATAGAGACAGTGCTGGGGCGAGAGAGCCAGAAAGGCACTGGGCGACTCTGTGCCTCACTGAGGAAAATAATTAAACCTGGGCAAAGGGGATCCTAAGAAACCGAGAGGCAAAATGTCATCGTATTCATTCTTTGTGCTAGCTTGCCGAGAGGAGCGCAGGAAGCACCCAGATGCTTCAGTCAGCTTCTCAGAGTTTTCTCATAAGTGCTCAGAGAGGTGGAAGACCATGTCTGCTAAAGAGAAGGGAAAACTTGGAGACATGGCAAAGGTGGACAAGGCCCTTTATGAAAGAGAAATGAAAGCTAATATCCCCGCTAAAGGGGAAACAAAAAAGAAGTTGCAGGATTCCAATGCACCCAAGGGTCCTGCTTTGGCCTTTTTCTTGTTTTGTTTTGAGTATTGCTCCCAAATCAAAGAAGAACATCCCAGCCTATCCATTGGTAATGTTGCAAAGAAACTGGGAGAGACATGGAATAATACTGCCACAGATGACAAGCAGTCCCACTAAAAGAAGGCTGCTAAACTGAAGGAAAAATCTGAAAAGGATATTGCTGCATACTGGACTAAAGGAAAGCCTGATGCAGCAAAAAAGGGAGTGTCAAGCTGAAAAAAAGCAAGAAAAAGAAGGAAGAGGAGGAAGACAGGGAAGATGAAGAGTATGAGGAGGAAGATGAAGAGAATGATGATGAATAAGTTAGTTCTAGCAGTTTTCTTTCTTGTCTATAAAGCATTTAAGTCCCCCTGTACACAGTTCCTTTTAAAGAAAAAGATTGAATGTAAGGCTGTGTAATACTTGTTTTTAAACTGTACGGCATCTTTTTTTATATAGTTAATACACTCCTAAATGTGTCTTTAGATAGCCCTGTGTTGGTGGTACTTTCAATAGCCACTAACCTTGCCTGGTGCAATGTGGGGGTGTAAATTGGCATGGAAATTTAAAGCAGGTTCTTGCTGGTTTACAGCACAAATTAGTTATATATGGGGATGGTAGTTTTTTCATCTTCAGTTGTCTCTGGTACAGTTTATACAATATAATTGTTGCTCTGTTAACTGAATACTGCTCTGTAATTGTGAAAAAAAATAAGTTGCAGCTGTTTTGTTGACATTCTGAACACTTCTAAGTAAATATATTGTTTTTATTAAAAAAAAAAAAAAGGCAGAGAAATGTGGTCAGGCAGGATGATGTTGCACTCCAGACAGCTCCCTATACAGCACTGATGCTGAGTTAGGAGCTGGTAGACTTACTAGGAAGCCTGTCCAGGCAGAGAGAAATGACCTTATAATAAGCACTGTGTGCATAGCATCTAATTGTGGAGCTAGATACAGGCTAAGGAAACTAACTGAGAAGGTTTCCATTTCTAAGTTCTGATCCATCTGAGAAAGACTACAACTCTGACCACAAATGCCAGCAGCAGACAACATCATGTAGCCCAGGAAAGGGACCAGACTAGCCACATCCCAAACTTATCAAACCAGCCATTTTGTAATTTGGTCGGAGGATTCAGAGAACACCTTGAGGTATGATGATTCATTTATTTTGCCATTATGAGATCAGATGTTCACAATGCTCCCTGAGAGGAGCCAGAGAGAAAATAAAATATGAGAGGAGTTGAGAAATTATCTTCCAGAAAGATTGAACATTACCTAAAATGTCTGTTTATATTCTCAAATTGGACTTGGTTATGAAATGAAAAGGACGGAATGCTGTATTTCCCCCACCACTCAACAGGTTCCTCTACTTATCAAATCTGGTGCCCAGGCTACATGCACTATAAATGCAGCCTCAAATAAAACAAATAACCCTCAGCATAGGGTTCCTAACAGAAATAAATGCAGAAGATAATGACAGGCAAAATCATATTTCATTTATGGCTGGCCTTTAATTTTGAATCTCAATAACTCAGGAACTCAAGTGAGCTGGGATAAACCTTGCCTAGTATTCTGCCTAAGCTAAATCAGAGAAATGATCTGTAAGAAAAAGGTCAGCTCTGTTTCACCTATATGAAAATGGTTATTTGTTAATCTGACTCACTTTTATAGCAAAAGGAAGAACAAAAATATATAAATTTAAAAAAAGATTAATACAAATAAAAACCTACACTGGAACATTAGTACAAATGGAAAATAAAGGTGAGGAAACAGGACAAATGGGAAAGCACAGGCCTGTTATTTAGAGTGACATCGACCTAAACTGATCTGTCCATGCCTTCTAGGACAACCACATTAGTCCTGAACTTGGTTATTCTTCAGAAGAGAAAGTATTCTATAGGAGCCAAAAGCAGGCTCCCCAAAATGTGCTACTTTGGCATATCTATTATGTTAAACACAAGTTCCTTAAGAAACAGCCAGTGCAAGGACACTCAGACCCTCTTAGGTCCTCCTGAAATCAGGAAATAAATATCCCATATGAAACCTACTCTCCTTGTACTAAGAAGTAAAAAGTCATCCTTATCACTAGAGATAGCAACTTTAAAGTTGAAAGAGTGACAGAATCAAAACAGTTACTTTTCTCTAATCACTGCCTCAGCCCAAATTCCACTTAGAATTCCTCACTAATTAAAGTTCCCAAACATCTGTTTTCTTTATCCTGTCAATTCTCACAAATTTATTGTCTCTTTGTCTAAAAAGTATAAAAACAGTCTGCCTTGGTCATTTCTTTAAATCTCAATTTCATTATTGGGCTTCTGTGTGCATGTAATAAGTTTTGTGGGCTTTTTAATCCTATTTATCTGTCTCATGTAAATTTAATTCTTTGTCCAGCTGGAAGAACTTGAAGCATAGAGGAAGATTTTTTCCTTCCCTATAATACAAAGAGAGAAATATTATGCTTCAACTTTTCTGTTCTATTTTACAACCATAAGGTAGAGAGAAGTTGCTGGAACACATGTTTTTAATTCCTTGGAAAACCCCAACCCACTGGGTGTAGGTGAGGGGGCTCTAATCTTTGTAAACCCAAACATTAAATGAAATGGTCCTCTTATTAGGGGAATGAAAATGGGGAGGTAGTACAATAAAAATGATTTCCAATCCCTAATTTCCAAAAGACATAAAGCAGATAATTTATGATACAGAGACCTTGAAAATAAATCAGAAAGTGAAAAAGTTACAAGCACATCTCACTTCTCATCAGTTTTCCATCTGATGACAATAGGGTACAATAGGAATATCTATTTCTTCTTCTTATTTTCCATATTATATAACCCCATTTTTTGACATTTGATAGATTAATAGAAGCAAAAAATATATAAAATTACACTTCAGCCTGCATGAAAATACCCATAGTAGTTTGATTTTTTCAAATGAAATTTGGAATAAAGGCTTAGCGTGTCAGGAATGGTAATTATGCCTGGTATATTTTAAATTAAAGAAATTTGAAATTCCTAGTCTAAACCTTTTACAGTTCTACTTATATAGCATTACAAAAAACCTTGGATTGCGAGTAATTTGTTCTGTGAGTGTTCCACAAGACGAGCAAACATTTATAATAAATTTTAACTTGATAAACAAGAGATGTTTTGCAATATAAGTAGTACATGACAGCAAATGTCACATGATTACAACCGAGTCAGTGGTTCTTCTCTCTCTCTCTCTTTCTCCTGCTGCAGGATTGTGATGATTGTCTCCCGTGCTCAGATGCTTGGCCTCAGACCGTGGTGTTTGGCAGAAATCAGTGATTTTTCAGAACATTGGAAGGTGCCCACAAATGGCATCCAACTGTTGCATCCAACTGTTGCATAGTGAGCAACAGCAAGAGGTTATGGAGATCTCCTCTGCAGAGGAGGAGATAAAGGTGGACGAGTCCCTCACTTCAAATGGGATTAGGGAGATGCATAAAATGTCAGAAACAGGGTAAAATTTTGATATTTCTGAGAAATCCTCAAAAGGAGGCAAAAGCAAGTGTCATTGGATAGGTTCCTTGTTAAAGTTGCATGAAAAGAAAAAGATTCCATTGAGCCAATAGATAGCAGTGATTCCATTAGTGATAGTGAAAGTAGTCCTACACAATAACCCTCCTCTCTCTTGTCTCCCTCAGACCAGCCATGAAGGTTTTCTAAGGTAAGTACAGGTTAATTTGTTTTTCTTTATATTTTGTCTTTTTAAAAAATTATTCTGTATTATATTCCAGTATGGTAATCATTTTTATATGAATATTTTAGGTTGTGGAATGAATCATCTGAGTTTCCATTATTTCTTATGGGGAAATTCGCTTTGCTATACAAATGCTTTGGATTACTAGCATGCTTCAGGAACGAATTATGCTCCCAAACCAAGGTTTTACTGTACTTACTGTTTGTTTGTTTGTTTGTTTTTCCTAAAGTGATAAGTAATTTAGTTCATCTTCTTGCCTTCAGGTACACTCACACTGTCTTTTCCAGGAGATAGGACTTTTATTAAAATTTTTTAAAGAAAGAATTTTATAATAAGTTTTACTAATTTATCCTCATTTAGCTTAAACATGTCAGGAAATGTTATTTTAAGTAAATTTGTAATTTGCATACTGAAGTCTTAACACTTTTCTCATAAGGAGAAATAATAGACTCTTGGGCATAAAGAATTTCTTGTAACCTCTTTTTCTAAAGATTAAAAATATATTTCCTTTCCTCAGCACCTCCCCCCACATATTTGGAATTTTTGTATTCTCATCTGACATGCCTAACTCTCAAAATCTACAACTATTTTTGTAGGCTATCTTCTGAACTTCCACTCCCACTCATCTTCTAGTTCTCTGACAATAAGGGAAACCAATTCAAGGCCATTTCTCTGCAGCATCTTGCTTTTCTATATCACCAGATGTGTGTAGAGCTAAATCGCCTGGACCTGGGTGGTCATGCAAAATTCTTTGTTAGAATTAGCTCATTTCTTTAGTAGGTCTTATGAAGCCTCCAGTATGTAGAAGGGTAGGAACAGCTTTCCTCCCACATCCTCTCTAGAAGGTTATAATTAAACAATAATAAAAGTTTTAAATAAATTTCTGATCTTCTGGAACATTTATAGATAAAAGGTTGGTGAAGTCCTAGCTGCTTGTTCCTTTTAGTGATCTGAAAACATGTGAAATATATCAAGGGCAGAAAGACTGTAACTAACTATCAAAGCCACATTTAAAAAAAACCACCAGGGAGACAAAAAGATATTTAGAGATTAAGAGTAGCTTACATTCTTTAAGGAAAAATAAGAATAAGAGAAAGCATTTTGGTTTAATAACAGAGTACATCATTGCTACTAAAGAGGTGAGCAATTAGAGAAGCATTTAAACTTTTTTCAACACAGAATTTAGGCTTCTCACAACATACAAATTGATTATAATTCTAAAAGTATTTTAATAGTATTTTTCCAATTCTAACTTTAAAACTCTTAATTCATTCTAATTTTAAAGCTGTATGACTAAAAAATAATTTCCATAGCAGAAATTTAATGTTAACTGGGTAAAAATAGAGTTAGCTGCATTGCTTCTTTTTCAGTTGAAATACCTTCACATTGATAGTACAGGCAACATTGATAGCAGGGATGATTAATTATTCTTCTGAGTATAGAATCTGAAATCAAATGATAATTTATTAATATCTGTACCAGTATCTGTATCAACATTGTGATGGTTATTTGGACATACCTGTGGACAAACAAAAATATCCCAATAGTAAAAAAAATAAACAAAACTTAGAATGGAAATACAGTTTTATTTAAACCTGAGTCTCCAAGAAAATCTGTTAGCTGTTTTTAGTTCTTTAAGACAACTATACATTCAAATTACTAAGTCAAAGTGATATATACACCCTGTGTTTATAGCATCATTATCTACAATAACCAAATTATGGGAACAGCCCAAGTGTTTGTCAATTGACGAATGGGTAAAGACAAGATGGTACATATACACGATGGAATATTAGTCATAAAAAAGAATGAAACCTTGCCATTTGCAATGATGTGGATGGAGTCAGAGTAGTATTATGCTAAGTGAAATAGGTCAATCAGAGAAAGACTAATACCATATGTCTTCACTCATATGTGGAATTTAAGAAACAAAACAAATGAGCATAGGGAAAAAAAAGAGGCAAACCAAGAAACAGACTCTTAAGAATGGAGAACAGGGGAGCCTAGGTGGCTCAGTTAGTTGAGTGTCTGACTCTTGATTTCAGCTCAGGTCATGATCTCATGGTTTGTTGGTTCCAGCCTGATTCTCTGTCTCCCTCTCTCTGCCCTTCCCCTGCTCACACTGTCTCTCTCTCAAAATAAATAAACATTAAAAAAAAAAGAATAGAGAACAAACTGATGGTTTTTAGAAGGGAGATGGGGGGTTAAATAGGTGATGGGGATTAAGGAATACACTTGTTTTTGTTTGTTTGTTCTTTTTATTCTTTTTTAGGAGTGCACTTGTTATGATGAGCACCAGGTATGGTATGGAAGTGTGGAATCAAACTTAAGAAAATATTCTGAGATGGTTGATATGTTTAACCAATTTAAAATTTGTTTCTAAATGAT